GAATAGAATAGAATAGAATAGAATAGAATAGAATAGAATAGAATAGAATAGAATAGAATAGAATAGAATAGAATAGAAACAGCCTTTATTGTTCCATGCAGGGAAATTCAGGTGTAATAGCAGCAGCAAATACATACATCAATCTACAGAAACAGTATATTGCTATGTGACATTATCAATTGTAGCAATAAAATTAAATATAGTAACAATAAAATAAAAATAGATCAAAATAAAAGTAAATATAATCATTACTATAATGGGCTATCAAGATGAAATTGGATAAAATGAAAAATAAGAAGAAACTGTGCAGTAAAATATAAATTACATGTAAAAAACAGTTATGACAGACTCATGATTCGAGGGGGTGTGCAAATTGWGTCGAACTCAGTCATTAAGTCCAGTACAGGAAAAAATGATGTACAATTGCCACAGGTTATTATTTATGTAATGATTGAGTGGTAGAGTTGTTTGTTCTGCAAACACAAACATGGATGCCTATCATGATTGTTGCGAGCGGTGATGGTTATAGAGTCTAACAGCTGATGGGAGGAGTGATCTGCGGTAACGTTCTTTTAAAAAGTATGTTTGGATCTTTTATTTTCTCTGGGCTGTCATCAAGTCTACACCTAGCTTTTTATATCATGTCATACCATCTCTTGTGTGTGTGTCAGCCTTTGCAGAGTGGGGTAGTGAGCGCRTGGAGGATCCCACCCCACCTTTGGAGGGGGATGAGGCCCGGCAGCTATACGTTGGCTCCAAGAAGGGTATCCAGGGTCACCTGAACTCCTGCTACCTGGACGCTACACTCTTCAGGTGAAGTCTTGAAAGAAATCTAAGCACCTCACACACTTATGGTGGTGGGCACAGCTAASCAAAAACTTAGTTTCACTAATCATTAATCTGCTAAACAATAGTTTTAGCTCTGTTAACGCTAAACAGATAACTAGCTATTGCTAACCGCTAAGACGGTTATTGGGACTGACACAAAGCTGTTGATCATTTTCTATTGGTTTAATTTGAAGGTGGGCGAGATCATCTGTGGCAAATCAGCTAATCCAAACCAAAGTTATAGCTTTGTTGTACTTGTGATACTTCCAGAACCCTTTCAGAATAAAAGCATTTCATGATCAAGATTTTATTTTTAGGAATACATCAAATAGGAAATTTTTCTACCATTATTTTTGCATTGTTTATTGTTAAATGTTATTTTATCTCTTTTTGACGCTCTTCGTTTAAAGTTAGCTGCTAAAGATGCTACATGCTACGCACGCAGTGCTTGATATTTTTAGTTCAAGATAAATGGCCTCAAAATAGGTTTAACATGCACAAATATTTTCGCCTAAAATGAGCAGAACCTAATTGAGCAGAAGCTAATCGGTTCGCTGACGATTCCTAAAATTAGCAAAAAAGCTAAAAATAAGAAGCTCCACCACTTCACACTTGAATACAAAACATGCAAAGTAAATTCTAATGCATTAGAATGAGTGTAAAAAATAAAACCAACTGAATTCATTAAAACGAGTAAAGCAAATCAAGCAGCTTTTTTAAATTGTATGTGTGTTTGTGTGTATGTAGTCTGTTTTCCTGCTGCAGTTCAGCAGACYGGTTGTTGTTTTGGCCGTGTGACTCTGAAACTGAAAAACGGTCCAAACACGCTCAGGACCTGCTCCGCTGCGAGATCGTCAACCCTCTCAGAAGGTGCGTTTCTGTTAAACGACGTACTGAAACTGCCTCAATCTTACAACTAAAGAGCAGCGACTCAGCAGAAACGTCTGCCGTCCTGTCATCTGACACACAAAACCTTTTRTAAAAAAATGTGTGTTGTTGTGTTTAAAGGTTCGGTTACGTGTGCGCCAGTAAGACCATGGCTCTGCGACGACTGCTGGAAGCTGCCAACAGCAACATGGGCTTCACCAGCCAGGAGAAAGGTACGCACATAAATGTTTCTTGTTTTTGTTGCCTTTATTTTTATTTTCGTCACCCCTCAGTTATGAAGGAATGTCGTCACGCTGCTCTCGTCCTGTTCTGTCAGATCCCGAGGARTTCCTCAACAAGCTTTTCCAGCTCCTGAGAGTGGAGCCGCTCCTCAAGATCAGGTCTGGGCTCAGTTTATTTTCTCTTTATGCACCTCACAAAGCTGCTGTTTCACTGTAGTTCCCACACATTTTTTCTTTACCTTCACCCAAGTCATATACAGCGACGACACGCAGTCCCTGTTTAGCTTCGTACGCAGACCTGCTTCTTCAGAGTGAAGTCACTTCGGGTTGCATCAACACCTTAAGTTCCTGCATTTCCTGCATTTTTCTGAGACAAAGGAACAGAGCTGTGACCTGCAGTTACTTCACCTTCGTTCACACCTTCTATAGAAAATCTTTCATTTTTCATGACAAGCAATGAGCTTGTTGAGTAAATGAGAAGGTTTTGAACATGTTTATTACAGCTCATTTTATCTACAATAGAAGTTCATGATCTTTGGGAAAAATGATGTGTAGTAATAGACTTGCAGCTGCTGGAGACTTGTTAGTGACTCAAAATGATGAGGAAAATAAGCTAAATTTGGCTCAGAATTGTAAGAAAATAAAATGTATTTTTCATTGCAGGATGTGTGAATTTGCAACAAAGTGTCCCAAATGAGCTGGTTTTTGTGTGAATGGCTTGCAGAACTGCATTCTTGGGCGTGCACAAGTATCAAAATAAAGCACTCTAGTGTTTACAGATACTAAACAGAGACGTTTACTACAAGTTTTGCAGCAACGTTTAAAGTTTAAACTAGACTGGGTTCCTCTGCTGCTCAGTTGAGGAAATTGAGAGACCAAAACAAAACACCGTCATGGATCCCATCACCGACYAGTCACAAACATTCACAGCAGTTTATTTTTATTAGTTTTAAATTAGAGTAAAATATTTATCATCATCGTATCGCTGCACTGGAGAGTGGAGGTAGATAAGGATAGAAGAAAATGAAAGGAGTAACTTAATGAGTAAATTTATAATTAATGAATGACAGCTATGAGCCGTCACGTCAAATCGAGGTTTTTTTTATTTTTTAAGTGTAACGTTTTAACTGTGAAGTTATCCTTCTAGTGAATACATGTCCCAATACATTTTAAGTCTGATATGAAACCGATCACTATGAAAACAGAGGTAGCGCGTGGTCACACAAACATATGTCAAGCGAAGGCCAGACCGTCTCATTTCACAGCAGTTTCATGCAGCCTGCCTGGACTGGGAAGGACGTGGTCCAGGTGGGCTGTGTCCAAAACGGCAGGACGGGTCCTCCGAAGGTCGAATTTGTCGGCCGCATACGTCACAGCG